ATTTAATAACTTTAGATTATTCAGTTATTAAATGTTTGAAATTATTTGTCTTTGCGGAAAACACTATTTAAAGGCCCTTAAGGAAGGCTCTTATCGAGTATAATTTTGAAACATTTTTACTAAATATCAACACAAGACAAATTAATAGAAGAATTAGTGCAGGTTTAAACAGATTATGAAATAAAACTCAAAAGATACATTTATTTATTTATTTATTAAAATATACACTATACCATAACAGTTTCACCAAAGCACTAGCGCAACACAAAACAAAATGAGAAATTGAGAATATTTTTTAGGTTAGCTCGGTTTGGCTTTTTACCGCTCGGCGCTCACCGTTCTTGGTTCCTTTCAACCAATCAAAACCCGTAAAGTAAACGCATGCGTATGAATACGCTGGTACGTCGCCCCACTTTTCGGCTTCAAGTCAATTGCAAAATGATCAGTATAGGATAGAAGTATGTGATATTGACTCACATAAGCTGACATTTGTCCGGTCCGGAAAGTCGAAAAAAGCTGCTATTGGTGCTATTGGTTAATTTCATAAACGGTTGTTTCCAAAGTCGTCACGGAAAAAGTTGATTTAACACAAGTTCGGTATTGACATCTAGAGGGCCTAGAGGCTCTAGATGTAGCTCTTTGTCTTTTCATCTCCTACCCTACAATTAGAAAAGAACAAAACACATCTGGAGCATGTTAATACCGAACTTGCCTTGTATTTCCTCTTTTTCCGGCATACGGCAGCAGTTTTGGCGGAACTAGAAGTTCTTAGTCACAAAATATATAATAGAGTTCTTAGTCTATTATATGTTTTGTGGATCTTAGGTTATAACATAACTTATGGCCGGTCCTCATGTACACTGATGCAGGGCCCGAGAACTTATACTTGAAAATATGGGGACACTGAGAACCACGTGACTTGAGATGGATATACAGGGTGATCGAGAATGATTGACCGTGCCGCCTCATNCACTATATTCAGGTAGGTACAGTAATTTCAAAGTAGTTCTTATTTTTTACTCTTTCTGTTTCTTCGAATAAATCTATTTCATCATCACTCTCAAGCTGGACAATGCCTCTAATAAGTCATCTGAATCACTGGACTTAAAATCGGACGTCTGTAATATTTCAAAAAGTTTATTTAAATCACCGAGTTTTTTTATATTCTATTTTTTATTACCACAAGTAAAAATTCCATATTAATAATACAAGAATTACTATTTTTTTAAAGGCAACTTCCTGTATAAAATGTGACTATTTTTTACTAACATTAAACTAAAATCTTTAACAAAGTAATTATCAAAAACATAAACCTTACTTATAGGTTAATATTAACAAGATCACGTCATAAATTCCTTGAAAACTAGTTTCTTTCTACGAACACCAAATTCTTCTCATAAAGCTAATATTTTTTATTATCTATTTAGTTTAATTACAGTCCGGAATGACATATTTTCATGATTTATATAATTCAAAGTAGCTTACATTATTTATTTTAAAATTTTTAACAGATTACAAAAATGACGGTTGATTTATAATTCAAACTGCCGCTTTTTATCTCCCCTCTCTACATATGGGACATATGGAACACTAGCGCCCTCTTATTTTTGTAAGATTTTTGTTTACATGGAGTTCGGGCTCCTTGTATAGTCTCCATGATTCATATGTTAGATTTCATTCTACGTTAGTACTATATTTTCTATGGTCAATAATCATTCAAGATCAGTAAACCTTGTATAAAGATCTTGATTAGGATCTTGATCTTGAATCGCAGCCTTGAAGTGCTTCCGAAGTACAATTTTTGTCAATTCGATTGGAATTTGGAAAGCAGCTAATGTCGTCTATTACTGTCAAATTGGGAAATAATTTGTGGTTGCTGAATTATTCCATAAAACATTTTAATTTTATAAAACTAACAATTTTCAATTATGTCTGACAAAAATAAATTATCCCATGGCCCTAAGGAAGATATTGTGTATCCGATCCGAATTGTTTACTGCGGTAACTGTACTATGCCTATAGAGGTTAGTTGAAATGAAACTCGTAATAATATTTATAATGAAATAACATTTTTAGTATTGTGAATATTATCCAGAGTATGATAAGTGTAAACAGTGGTTGGAACGTAATTTACCGTCGGAGTTCGAAAAAGTTAAAATTGTGGATGATAATCCCATCGAAGAAGAAAAAAAGCGACAAAAACGGGGTGGTAAAGGAATGATAAAGACAAAAAAGAAAGAAGATGTCCCAAAACAAATTTGCGTATCTAGAGCTCCCAGAGGCAAAAAAAAATCTGTGACCGTTGTCACCGGTTTGAATTCATTTGGTAAATCTATTAGTCCAGTTGGTAGAGGTTCGGCCTGTGTCAAATCTTGATAATCTGGAAATAACTACACAGACCTACTTTAAATGATGAGTACAATAACAGGTTAATTTGCTGACAAAGTATTTTATCAGGAAAAAAGTTAACAATTTAATCGTGAAATTTTTTTTTTAGTAGTTTTTAAATAATTTAGCAGGATGACTGTATGAAAAAATGCTTAAGACATGATTTGTTTGTAATAAAAATAGCTACAAAATGGCGGTGGTCCGATTACGAAATTTGCAATAACAAAGCCGTGAGATTGAAAAAATGATATAAAACGTCAATTTTTTAAAGTTGCTGTAAAAATGTCAATTATAAACAAAAAGTGATAAAACTTTCGAAAACTATAGGTTAATATACAGTGTGTCCCACTTAAGCATTAGCCACCCATGTAAAATTATTTATTGAATTGTTTCAACTTTTTTTTGTTTGATATATCACAGAAGAAGGAGTAGAATGTATAATTTCGGTATTTTTGGGGTCAAAGCCATGGCCAACTGAGACGCGTTTTATAGGAGGAAAAAACGAGAAGTAATATTAGCGATTTTTTTTCGACAAAAACTGCGATAGATTCTTATTCAGGACTATCTAAAACCCTACTATACCAATTTTTGTGATAGAATACAGGGTGTTGCAGAAAATTAATTCTTAATTGTTTTAACCAACTGAAGATTTATTTACGACCCACATGCATTATTTGAATATTGTGTATCAGTATTATTCAAATTAGTAATAAAGGATGTTTCCATCATCATCATTATTATTATTATTATTACAAAGGGAAAAAAATTAAACATTTATTTAATAGGAAAATTCAGAGCGTTTTCAATTATTAACTATTTTGTGAAAATATTATTATTACTAATAAAAGTATTAAAATAATGTATTTGCTATATAAATCTTCAGTATAAAAAATTATAGTATAATTTTCTACAACACTGAAAGCAAAATCTAATTTTAACATTATACTTCCTCAGCTACGTATTTGGTTATTTAACTAGAAGTACACGATTGATGAAGAAGGCTATGAGAAAATAAACAATGTAACTTCTCAACAAATAACAGTTGTCACTGCTAACAATAACTTCTGTAAAATGTCACAAATCAATGATTAATTATTCTTTACAAGAAAAAATAGAAATTGTGCGATTAGTAGGTGATGGAATACGGTCATTTCGTAGCTGCCGTAGCATTGAATAGGAGGCATTCTGGACAAATTTTTGTTGTGATAGAATACAGGGTGTTGCAGAAAATTAAACCTTAATTTTTTAAATCAACTGAAGATTTATTTACGAAACATGCATTATTTGAATATTGTTTATCAGTATTATTCAAATTAGTAATAAAGGAAACTTATTATTATGATTTAACACTTTTCAATATGTCGACAACTATTAATTGTTACTTTTCATAACTGTTGCCTAGTAATGTGTCTGTAATACGTTCACAAAGTTCTTCTTGCATTTGGGGCCTCGTAACATAAACTTTATTTTTAACAGCTCCCCACAAAAAAATCAAGAGGTGTGAGATCTGGAGACCGCAGTGGCCAATGAATTAAAGGGCTGTTACGTCTAATCCATTGATTGGGAAAATGTTCATTCAGCCAGTTTCCCACTATGATCGAATCACAGACAGGTGCTCCATTTAGCTGTACATGTAAATTAAGGCGATCATTTAGAAACAAGTCATCGGTTTTGTTCATAAATTCATTTTGTAGGAATCTCTAAAAACCATCCGCATTTAAATTTCCTTCAAAATAGTTAAGGCCCAACGATTTTTAAACTTAAAATGCTGCCATACCAAATAATCACCTTAGCGGAATACTGCCTTTTACATTGTATAACCCAATGCGGATTTTCTTCACACCACATTCTAATATTTTGTGAAGAAACAATACCGTTTGTAGCTTCATCAGTGTACAAAATATTTTTCAACAGAAACAAAATTCCATTCTTCCTTCTCTGTCTCCTATTTCTAGGCTGTGAAAAAATTTGGGTTTGTATACCCTCCTCCAATTTTTTTAAACATCTCCAAATTTGATTTCTAGATATATTTAAATTAACGCTGGCATCTCTAATGATCGACCGCGGATTTTCATTAAAATAGTTGAGAATTATTTGGTTTATTGGAAGCACACGATTACGATGTTAGTTGGGATTTTTACTTACACTTCCAGTTTTATCAAAAACTCTATTAATAGTCAAAACTAGTATGATGAATATTTTGTCCAGAATACCTCCTATTCAATTCTACGGCAGCTACGAAATGACCGTATTCCATCACCTACTAATCGCACAATTTCTATTTTTTCTTGTAAAGAATAATTAATCATTGATTTGTGACATTTTACAGAAGTTATTGTTAGCAGTGACAACTGTTATTTGTTGAGAAGTTACATTGTTTGTTTTCTCATAGCCTTCTTCATCAATCGTGTACTTCTAGTTAAATAACCAAATACGTAGCTGAGGAAGTATAATGTTAAAATTAGATTTTGCTTTCACAAAGTGTTGTAGAAAATTATACTATAATTTTTTAAACTGAAGATTTATATAGCAAATGCATTATTTTAATACTTTTATTAGTAATAATAATATTTTCACGAAATAGTTAATTAAATAAATGTTTAATTTTTTTCTCTTTGTAATAATAATAATAATAATAATGATGATGGAAACATCCTTTATTACTAATTTGAATAATACTGATACACAATATTCAAATAATGCATGTGGGTCGTAAATAAATCTTCAGTTGGTTAAAAAAATTAAGGTTAAATTTCCGGCAGCACTCTGTATTCTATCATAACAAAAATTGGTATAGTAGGGTTTTAGATAGTGCTGAATAAGAATCCGTTGCAGTTTTTGTAAAAAAAAAATCGTTAATATTACTTCTTGTTTTTTCTTTCTATAAAACGCGTCTCAGTTGTCTATGGCTTAGATCACGAAAATATCGAAATTATACATTCTACTCCTTTTTCTGAGATCTACCAAACAAAAAAAAGCTGAAACAAATCGGTCAACAAATAACAATTTTACATGGGTGGCTAATGCTTAAGTGGGACACACTGTATATACAATAATGACGCTAAAGTCGAAAATCAGGAGAGCAAAACTTTTTGTTCTATAAGATTTTATACATCCAGTGGCATCTGAAACTCGAAACTTTGCCAAATTTGTTCGAAGCTTTGCTGAAACTTGAAATTTGGTATACACAGTGTAAATATGCAGAAACTAAAAGCAATTTGCAAAATTCAAGTATCTTAATTTTTGCAGCTTTGGTAAAGTTTTATACATCACCCTAGTTTTATACGTCACGATTTTTTTAAATTTTGGACGTATATGTATGTATATTTATAAAATATTCCATCACAGTAGATTACCTAGCACCATTGACTACAATTTAAAAAAAAAATAATTTTCATCATTTAGATCCTAAGCTACTTAACATTTTGCGCCTGTTAGCCATACTCGTACATTATTCAACATATCAACATAAAACAAAAACGTACGTGTGGGGTAAACCTTTAGCTTTAAGTAAACAATTGTTTAAATTTATTAGTTGCATATTTTTAATAGTATACAAGCGCCGAAGAGGGGAGCTTGCGCTCGAAAATGAAGCCTTCACCGACCAGGGGCTTGATTTTTGAAAACAGGAGAACTGATTCTCTAGAGAAAGGATTCACCTGACAAATTTCTCTTAAAAACTTAAATACTTATTTTTGAACGTTGAAGGAATCCAATTCTCTAGAGAATTTAATTTATGCCGTATGTCGAGGATATATTTGCAACTGACCAATCAGCGGTCAGAGTTTTCTTCAATATTTCAGTACCATTGTTGGCGACCCTGATGTTTAGTCACTTGGTTTGATTTTGAAGATTGTTTTGTAAATGTCATTATATTCGTCAGGGAGACTAGACATCTCCATGATATTCGTAGTAATTTAATATAACTTCAATTTGAATAGAAGTGTATTTGAAAACACAAAAAATTTAATATTATTATAATTATGATGAAGCGTTCGTTCACGTCGAAAGCGCAAAAAAGAAATTAATATGCTTAGAAACAACGAAGAACTTTTTAAAATGAAAGTTTTCTTCTACTTTTACTCACAAAAAGGCCCAAGAACAGTGGTCAGATATTGCTGAAACTTTAAATGATTTAACTAATGTTGTCGCGGATGGTTTACAATTTCTGCAGCTTGCAAATTATTCATTATATTTAGAATTAATAATAAATTATTTGGATCCATTACAAATTTCAAATTTCAAATGATTACGCACCTTCGAACAGCGAATGAATGAAGTGACTTTTCGCGCATGAGCATGAGATGACATTTGGATTCAAACTATTCAGAGAAAACGCCAATTCCCCCGACAAAACCCTGTGGAATTATTTCTCTTGATATCTAGAGAAAATATTCCACAAGAAAATTTCAAAAATCACATTATCTGCGTGTCAAGAGAAAATGACGTAATTTTCTCTAATGAACTAATTCTCCTGTTTTCAAAAATCAAGCCCCAGGGCGTGGTGGGGGATCAGCAGGATACGCGCGCGCGTGCGCTCGAAATGCGACACTGGTTATTTATTAACTTTTTTTAGCTTCTACTTGACCAAAATTCAATGTATCAAAAAGAGAGGAACACAACTATGCCGATAAAAATTCGACATTCTAGAAACTTTTAAAGCAGTATTATAGTCATTAAAAATTCCTTTTTTATCATTTATCTTTGTAAATTTTGTTATTCTAATAATTATAGTCTTACTAATTTACCGATGTATTTTTAAAAATGCAAATGTTTTTATGGGATAACACGGAAGAAGATGGAACAAAATTTAATGGAATATATGTATATTTGTATTCAGTTACTTAAATATTTTTTATTGATTATTTATTTAAAGTTTGTGTTTTTTTTTTGGTGGTTCTGAATCATCTTCAGCACTTTCTTCATCGTCGGCGTCGT